GATGTACTGTAGATTACAGTGGCAGTGATGATTACACCCTGGCACGTTCCGAAACGGGACCACGCTGGGCTCTAATTTTATCCACAGTCTTATCCAAGACCAAGAATGTTGAGATGCGAGATGGAAGGCCCGGTATCCATCCATGCGGTGTGTGGTGGGAGACGTAAGCCTCCAAGAGAAATCAAGATGGTGCGCGCGCAGAGCCTGCTCCGGCCGACCTGAATCAACGCCACAAGTTCTGGAATGTATTGAGATAGCGGCCCTCCGACGACGACGCGTGCTCCGTGGTCCTTCCTCGTCGACAATCGACCATAAGCCGCCGTGCCGGGCAAAAGGTATGGGATTCAGTGTGCGGAGTATCAAGAATGGTTGTTATGCGAGGTGGCTTTACGGTTTTCGTTTTTGACGCCGCTGTCAGCTGAGCCAAGAAGCAGCTTTGTTAGCAGGTGAAAAAACGGGAAGTTGCCGTGCGGGGGAGCAAGCGAGATGCTGTGCACGTTGAATGCCGGTGTGGGCATTGCCATTGGTCCGGCGGCTTCAGCTTCCTCACTGCGGTTCCGGTGGCTTCAGCATTAGAAAAGCGAGCAGGACTCCGCACGATGGGCACGAACGGTGCTCACGGGTACGCCGCCGCGGAACAAGCCTTGGAGTGGTGCGACGAAGACGAAGTGAGATCACAGGAACACAACCAACGCGTTGTTCAACTTGATATCTAAGACGGCGGCAGCGAAGAGTGGGGCGGGGATCCCGGGGCAATCGGTATTGATTGACGTTAACCGAAGCCCAAAGAAGTGTTCCTCCTGAGTGAACCTCCTTGATCTCCCGATTTGGGAAATGGTGGCAAATTCCGGCGGCACTGTCAGCGAGAATGTGCGTGTGCTGGCCGAGGGGAGTTCAAGAAGTACGGGGCACAAGGAGACGTGCCCACCGGCCGATTTGTGTCATACCCAATGTCAAACCAGGTCGAAGCAGTGTCCGAGCCGTAAGAGCGAACTGCGGTTTGCGTTCGAGGGTGTTGGAAATGAGCCACGGATGGGAGCCGCCCCAGGAACAGTTCAGAGAAAGCGGGATCTGCACAGACGTCGAGTAGTCGACGTAAGCGCATGGTGTTGAATTTCAATTTTAATATTGAGCACCGGGTTGAGTTTCATTATGGAGCTATGTGGACTTGTGTCACTTGTGTACCTTGGAGCGACCTGCTGCTCACTTAATTGATTGTTTTTTGGTTCCGCCACACGGTTGTGGCGTATCTAGTCGAAGCCAGCCAGCTCGCCAGCCTCGCCTATCCGCGTCGTGGTGACAAGAACCAAGCATCCCAAGCTATCCCAAGAATAACGAGATCTACGCAGAATGCAAGAATTTGAACCAAGGCAGTGTAGACTCGCGTGTTGCGTGTGGTTACACGGTCGGTTGCTACACGGATGCCAGAACGGAGGTATAAAATGAACATCCGAAGAGATAAGTACACGGCGGCGATGAGGTCCAAGTGTAGTGCGAGGGTTACACGAGGAAGGAACTCGGTGAACCGGGAGAGATGTTTTTTTTTTCGCTCTTCCTCCACTGCGGATGCAAGGACCGAATGCAAGATGATTCGGCATCTCAGGGTCAGAAAGGGCAGAAATAGCCAGACACGACCGAGACACAGTGTGATCTGCGTCCTCGGGCTTGGGGCAAGTGCTGCAGGGAACTGAGCACGCGGGCAAGCGAGATCTAGCGAGATGGCATAGATACAGCGCAGGAGCGTGGATCGGGAGAGTGTGACTGTGACGGCGAATCACATGGTGCGCCCTGCCAACAAGGGGTTGTGCTTCGAGGTACTTAGGCGACAACATGTCCTTGCTCACGAAAACAGAGTCCAACTCCTTCCACGCCTTTCTCGACACAATGAACTACGAGAACGGGCTGGTATCCCGCGAGTGGGCCATGTATGCTCAGACACAGGACACGGACCAATACCACGACCGGAACGCTCTCACAAAGGCTACAAAGGATCTCATGGCTCTGGACGCGCGCGGGTACGCTCAACAGCAGCCCCCGCAGCAATACTATTACCCCGCGCAGCAGCCCCAGCAGCAGCAGCAGCCAGTGCAGCATTATTCGACGCACTATGATTACCATCCCGGTCCAGTATACACCCGGCAGCCGACATTCCCATTTTTGCACCAGCAGCGTCCCCCACCGCCCCCTCCGCACCCGCTCACCATAAATTATCCGCCACCCCCCAGGCCGTATACTGCGACGCCCTCGACTGCATCTGCATCCACCTCCTCGTCCTCCTTTTCCTTTCCCCCGGATCTTCCGCCGTCACCGGTCCGCAGACCGTCTCCGAAACAGACACAGAGCGCGCCAGCTGCAGCACCACCTGCCAAACGGCCCCGCACTGTACCTCCCCCATCCAAACCCGCGCTTCTTTCTCCGTCTCAGAAAAAGGCGAACCACATACAGTCGGAGCAGAAGCGTCGCGCGAATATTCGCAGGGGCTACGAGGCGCTTTGCGAAGCCGTCCCCGCACTTCGCGACGCGATCCGCGAGGAGGAGGCCCTCACCGCGTCACAGCATCCGCCCGCCAACGCCAAGGGCAAGCGCGGCCGGGGCCGGGGACGCGCAGAGGACGGCGGAGAAAAGGTTGATGGCCGCGCCGGCCCCCGCAGCGAAAACGTTGTTTTGTCCAAGAGTAAGCTTCCGACTCGCTCCCTTAGCCTTTATTTACACGATGCTCTCCAGCCATCGACTACATGAGCGAACTGCTCGCCGACCGTGACGCCCTACGCTCACGTCTCGAACGTGCACGATCTGCCCTCCCGCCAGGCCACCCCGCGCGCACACCCCTGCAATCTGAGCCTCTCTGGGAGCGCGAGTGGAAGGGCGGCGCCGGCCAACCGGACGAGGACGCCGAAGACGAAGAGGACGACTCGTCATGACCCGCCCGGAACCTCCTTCAGCATGCTTTCGCCTGGTTTCTGCCCGCCGCGGCCCCCGTTATATTTCTACTTTCGCATTGTTTGTTGTCTGTATTCACACTGCATAGAGCCGCCGCACTAATCGCTCAGCTGTACCATATATCCCATAGCCTATCCCCGCCCGCTATAATTTCCGCCGCCGTCTCGTTCTGCATTCGCTAGCATGTATGATGTACTGTAGCCACAAAATTGACCCGCCACCGAATGAACTCAATGAACTGTATCATGTAGTGTGTCCCTCTGTAACTTAGCCGTAATCGTAATCGTATTTCCAATGTCACTTGTGTTCCATGTTCCTCTGTTCCATGTTCCTCCGTTCTGCCCCTTAGAATTCGCATCATTTTGCGCGGTCGGGAGACTCGGGAGGAACCGTCGGGTACTGAAATTCAAATTTGACGATCAAGCGCATCATTGCTATCAGATATCGCATCACTTTGCTTCTGTAACCCATGAATTGAGGGTGGCTACATTTTTGTGCATGTCGACGAGGACTATGGTCTCGAATGCCAGGCAACAGAATGCAGTAAGCTCATCAGGGATAATGTAACCATCTGCTTCGCGGCGCGCGCATGGTTCAAAATTTAAATGGATTGAGAGCCTTTGTGGCGTCGGCCTAGCATCCGAATTCCGAATGTTGCCTTGGTGATGAGTTCTTTTCCGCTTTGGGCGCCTTGGGAGGGATGTCTTGAGAGAAATCGTGCATGAGCGTAAAAAAAGATCCTCGATTCACTACGATTTTCGCAAGCGCAGTGAACCATAAGGAAGGGAAATTAATTGAATGGGATCTGGAGTGGGATTGTTACGAACCGCAACTTGCGAGTCGCGAACCGCGCCACCGGTGTCCATCACGGCGCGTAGATCCCCGCGTGGCTGACCGATGATCTCCGGACTCAAAGCAGAATTCATTTAGGCAAGCGTTGGACTCCTGGAGACTGTGTTGGAAACTGAGCTTCGGGTTGCGTGGACGGTTTCGGAACTCCAAGCTCAGTTTCCAACGGTCTCTAAAAGATGCATGGTGCGTTTCCAGTGTGTCACACAAAACCGTGTCTTTTTTTCTGGAGAAAAAGAAGGGAACATCTTCGTGATCAATGTCGATCCCCGAATCCTTGTCATCCGAAATGACAGAGATTCGCCGGAATTCGCCTAAGCCGGAAGCACATATTCAACCAGAACTTCCATTTATCCGCAGCACTAAGAAACTTGATGCGACCAGAGTCAGTTGCACAAGGGTAAATAATTCGAAGCAAGAACAATAACTGTTACAGAGCTTTAGCTTCCGGTGACCATTTACCTCGCTCCTCCAGAGTTCACACTGGAGGTAGCTCGGTACATGCAGTCGAAAATCATATTGACGGCATCACGATTCCATTGATCGTCATTACGGATTGAGATGATTCGCTTGGACCGATCGGATGCCGGAAGCAGGCAGAAGCTGTGCTGCCACGTGAGATGCCGGGCGGATAAAGTCCAACCCGACACGCATTGGAAAAAACAAGTTCATGCTTTGGCGGCACACATATTAGCTCAATAAATTCAAATTAAAGTACAGTGGGAGGATCCTGCTTCCTATGAAGCTGCTGGTTACGATTGTGGACCAAAAGGTAAAGAATTGAGGTCACTGGACGTCAATACTTTCTTTTGCAGGTCGCTAGCCTCGGCAGCCTCACTGCGATCTTAGTTCAACTCCAAAGCCTTAGAAAACTTAGACTCGAGATATCTGGGTGGCCATAATGCTAGGTGCAAATGCCGCGCTCTATCTGACAAGACTTGTGTGAGCAAGATTGCCATCGGGAGAAAGCACTGGTTGTATGAGTGGGCGATCGATAGTAACACGACGAGCCGTATGCATCACCGCCACGTTTCAGCCTACCTCCATAGAGCCTTCCGAAGTCAGAACTGACTCCTACTTGGTCAGAACCCTTCATCAATTAGCCTTTAGAGGTGAAAAACCTGAAAATTCGAACTCAACCTGAGATTTCAACTGAGGGGAAAGCTCAAGCCAAAGCTGGATGAAGCTGGGCGAAGCTGGATGAAGCAAAGTGACCACCGTAGGGGTCGAACCTACAATTGCCTGATCGCGATTACCCCAAGGGAAGTCGTAGTCAGACGCGATGCCATTTCGCCAGGCGGCCATGTTGAACATCGACTTTGATCGGGAATATACAGAACAACACAAGACTTAGAAATAAAGTTCAAGCATTGTAGACAGGATCCGAAACACATGAGCCGTAAAAAAAACGGACAGACAGGAATTGCATAGGAGGCTTCGGAAAGGTCTGCAGAACACCTGTCATGCGAAAAACGTTGAAATTGTGGTGACAGTGTTAACACAAACAAACTTGAACTCAACTTGAACTTAACCGCCTCGCAAACACCAATGGTCGCCACGAACCAGAACCATTGCAGGCCGAGAGGAAAGAAGCGGTAGGGTCCTGATAATTTTCAGTGCGCCCAGCTCCAAGGCACTTTAAATACTCTAGGTCTCTAACATGTAGCCATTTGGCGGGCCCCGTCAGTTTTATTGGCTCCCGTTTGACCCCGAAAAAAATTATCTGGAGAAAGAGCATGATACCCTCATTGAGTAACTCTTCGCCAGATTCGCTGTGTACCGCAGATCACTGCTCAACTCTCCCCGGCACGTAAAACACGTCGCCCAGGATCTTATGAAGCCTAAACCTAAACCAGAGCTGGGATGGTTGGTTGTACATTCAAACGAAGATCTGTGCTGCGCAAATTTAGGACTTGACCGCCGAAGATGGCCTACAACCACTTGAATAAAGTACATACAGCATATTTTCAGCAACAATGCAACTTATATTGCGACTAGCAGGAACCCGTGCTCCGCTACGGAGATTCTGTAAGGATTTGTCAAGTTTTCCGGTTACAGTTAAAGTCCGAGCTCGCGAAAAACCTTCGGTCGCACGGGGACACTCGTCACCAACCTGTGGTTGGTTCCTCGTGTCCCCCGGTGTTCTGTTATACTCGGCAGGGTATTTTTTCAGATCCAGATATCTTTGTGGATGTGAGAAGGCTTAAGAGAGAGTAGCAAAAACTCAGTATGCTTGAGCACCATTCCCGTGCCGTGCTCGTCTCAACAAAGTCAGAGCCAGGCTTCTGTATATTTTTACCAGGATAAAATACCAAAATCACACTTGCTGTAGACAGGATGCACCGGCAGGACTGATAAATATTTAGTCGATGTTAAAGTGGGCTACAGAGGTTTTCATGAACAGTTCCATGCCCGTGGCGCTTAAGGTCAATCTTAAAGTGTCAGGTTCATACCCGTGGACTCTGAACAGCGGTCCTTCTCCAAGAGGACCTCCTTAACCCGTTTTCTGTTACACGCGGCAGGGTAATCATTCAGATTCGACTATCTTTGCGGACTCGAGAAAACTGAAGAAAATGCCTGAGCGCGAAACAGCATTCCCATGTTGGTCCCGCGTGTGTGTTCATCTCCACAAATAGTTAGAGCACCAGAGATTAAATTGATTTTCGACAGGCTGCACCCATAGAACGTGAACAGTTCCATGCCCGTGGAGCTGAAAGTATCAGACCCATGCCCGTGGAGTCTGTTCGGCGGCCTTCTCCTGGGATATCGCTGCAACCTGTAGCCTTTGATCCAATAAGAATAAGAGAGAAGACTTCAGTTGAATTTTGAGGTGGTAATGCGTGAAAGAAAGGGTTAAATTTGACCACATTAGAGATGAATTCGGCCTTCCTCCCGCACCCGTAGGATGCTCCAAGGCCCAGAGGAAAGATTTGGATTCGGTTGACAGGAGACCGAACTTCAAGTTGAAGGCCCGAGTCCTTTTTTCAAGCGGGATTTACTCCCTGGCAGGTTGGACTTGGGTTGGACACGATGTCGGACGCAGCAGAGTCAAGACCGAAAAGCCCCGGTCAGAACTGTCCTTCAGCCTTCTCCCGCACCCGTAGGAGTTTAAAGGGAGCACTTTGACTTGGATATGAGGGAATGGCGGGCGAGCAAGGAGGGCAGGACCGAGATTGAGTTGACCGTCCCACAGCGGCAAAGACCGACGACTTACGTTATACTTGTCTTATTTGTCCCATGTTTGTCTCATCCTGAGTACGCCTTCTGATTGGCTGGCTAGAGTTACACGTGACCTTCACCATTTGTATAGATTGGCAGCGAGGGTGTTGGACCCGGAGTCGGACGTCTTTCGCCTGTGGAGCGCCTGTCTCCCTGCGCAGTGTCATGGCCCCAGAAGCTCAATAGGCCGAGCTGCAGCGAAGTCAAAGAAGCTTATGTCGTGGTTCCTGAAGAGTTGTGTTTTGGGGGACATCGTGGGACAGATCAATCCCTTTTCGTTTTCAACGCCTCTTTCCTTCTTTGGAAGCTCTCAAGCCACCGGCGCTTTTTCACCTTGACACCTTGTGTCCGGCCCTCGGCTCTTCGATCTGCTGCATCCAGAGCGTTGATATGTACACTTCGGCCTGCCTCGGTGACTCGGATGTGTATGGCGCCGTAATGCGGCGATCCGATTTCCGGTACATAATTCTGCGCTCCTGCTGAGTACTGAGGACCCGACCTTTCCTTTGCGGCACCTTCCCCATTGTCGAGATACCGCAAGCTTCTGAGCACACCGCCCATGAGATGAAACGCGACCAAGCTGTCGGTCATTCGTTCAGCCTGTCTGAGATTCTGAGTACTCATCCTGCGTTTCCGTGGCTCAGTACCCAGCCCTCAGTTTTCTCTGACTTGGCCAGATTCAGATTCGGGAAATCCTCTTCTGGGCCACGTCTACTTGTCTTCTTGTTCTCTCTGGCTCTCAGGCTCTGTTCTGCTCTGCTCCGAGGCCGTGCTCCCTGCTGTGTCGTTACTCAAAATTCAGACGCCATCAATACTGCAAGGTAAATTGGAATCGCTGCGAGTCTTCTTTCGACTAAGCTCGTCATGATTCATTTTTCGTGTCGGCGACTCGACGCCTTGCCAAACTTGAAGCCGCGGAAACGTTCGGTAGGATAGTCGCAGTTCCTTTCCTGCATCCAGGAATTTTGGCAGAACACCTACGAATCCCCACCACTGCTTACTCCTCATGCTATCCGTGCTCGGTCTTCCAGCCAAACCTATCACGACGCACCGAAACTCGCAAGCACCTCACCCTGCTGGAATTCTCGTCATCGCTGCTTCGTCCGCTAGCGCCCGCTGTCCAGCTATGTGCCTATCACTTGTGGCTTGTCAAACGTCAATACCCGAGCTCCCTAACTTAAAACTGTGCTCGGGACCCCGCCGCTCAACTTTCTCCAGATCAGATTGTTCATCGCCGTCACCTGCAAATGCATGTGTCCCCTCCGCCTTTGCCCGGCGGTCTCCAACGACCGAACAATGTTATCAGCTACGACTGCACACCGTCCGCAGATCTTCACCAACTCCTCCTGACGTCTTGTCAATGCACCAAGTGAATAAAAAACACCGTCAAGACAGTACACTACTGAACAGAGAGAGGCGGGTACTAGTGGGATGTACAGTTGCTATAGCTACGGCGGGGTACTGTATGTATACTTTAATAATCAGTCCGGCACGGCGTTTAAGGGAGATGATGACCATGAGGTAAAGTCGAAATGAAGTGTATGTAGGGAGCGATTGCACAGGGGAGGGGGCAAGCAATTATGGCGACTAGCGGGACAATAAAACGGAATACAGCGTGCGGGTGCCGGAGAGAGCATTACGTATGAGCATAATGTAACCAAAGAATACTTGAAGGACGACAACGCGTGTCTAGCTTGTCTGGATCCCGGAGGAAATTAACTTGCCCGGTCATACGAGCGCCGCTGATTGCAGGTACCCCCGGAAGATCGAGTCACGGACTGTTAAAAATCATCATGAGTTGGCGCTCGGTGAACAGCGGCCGCGGAGATCGTACCGTTCCCAATAATGCGTTGCGTGGCTTTCGTGTCCTGACGAGGCAATGAGTATGCAAGCATTGGTGGAAAGAAGAAATAGACGCACCACGACACTCGTGAAATGGGTATATAATACACGCCGGTTTTCGTTGTTCCGACGGTGCACTTGCAAGAAATGCGCCCGGAAGTATTGCACCACGGTCTCGTAATCATTAGTGCGGTCACCGAAAGAGGTGATGCTGATGAGAGAGTGAGTATCAAAAAAGTTCACATCACATCACGAAAGATAGAACATCGAGTGAAATGTGGACAAATGACTTACTATTTCTGAACTTTGAGCCCGTTGTCGATCTTGGACTTGAGGAGGTCGGTCTTATCTGTAACCAAGTCAGAAAATGCAGGCACCACGACGACATCGAACGCACTAAGGAACAGCACAAGATGGACGCTCTTCAAGAGGGCATTGGAGCAGACTTGCGTGAAGAGCTGAAGAGAGTCGTCGATCCTATTCGTTCGAGGGTCTTCTTCGAGATACTAGGCACAGGTCAGTCCCGTACCAAAGGAGTAAAGCATCCACAAGGTACCTGATCAAACGCGCTGACGGGGGCCACAAAGATGATAGCGTTTGCTGTATCGAAATACGGGATCTGATGACCATGAGGTTAGGACAGGGACGCGCAAGGATGCGTACCCAAGAATGCCTCTGGCCTCGGGCACCGCCGACGTCGAACAGGTGCCAGGTGACAGACTTGCCGTGGAGGTCCACGTCGAAGATATGCTCCGCAACCCCCATCGTTTGAATGCGGGCATGAAGGATGTCGTCTACCAAGGCCACATATCTGAGTATATGCGCTTCTTCGGCAAGAAAACAAGGCACAAACCAGTTGTGGGTATATAGTCGGGCGCAGCGATGCGAGTAATGTCCTTCAGGAAACTAGAAAGACGTATTAGAGAATACCTGTGTATCGGGCAACGCAGGAAAACGCACAACTCGGACCATTCATCGAGCTTGAGTTTTCGTTTCATGATTAGACCCTTGACAGTCGGATGCGCCCACAGCTCCCGGATGTCGTCTTTCAAGGCCGAGAGCATACGACCGATTTCTTGAAGCAAGATGTCGCCGTCATCCTCGTGCATGTAGCCTTCGCGCCCCCTGCGGGAATCATCCACCGAGGGTTTCCTCATCTTTCCGAGCGTCTTATCAACGGTGCGCGCCTGCCACCCGCTACGTACGAGAAGACCGCCCTTGCCGGATCCGGAGAGCGTGATG